GAGCTCACTGCTTTGGGCACTCACCCGGCCTAGTACCCCGGCTCAGCTGAACTTTGTAGGTGGCCTGGGAGAAGTGGGGCACCTGGTCGTTCTCATCCTTCACGTGCACACACACAAGCTGCGGGCCCCACAGGACACGTCTGTCCTCGGTCTCCAGGGTGACCTGACAAGAAGGAGTGGTCAGAGCCCCGCCCTCCCCTGGTGACGTCTCCCTCCCCCTGGCCCAGCCGTACCCGTAGCTGGTACTCTGCCTGTTCCTCCCGGTCCAGGGCCCTGGTCACCAGCAGGAAGCCAGATTCTGGGTCCACAGCAAAGGGGCCCTCCCCTGCCACTCCTGCATCTCCTGACAGTGCAATCTGGCCCTCAGCCTCCTCACGGGGCAACGGCAGCTGGTGGGGGAAGAACAGAGGGAAAGGGAGCTAGGGGCGAGTCTGGGGGATGCCCCTTCCACCCAATAGCCCCGTTTTTTAATATGGGGAAACTGAGGCTCAGAGAGGGCTTGCACTTGCCCAAGGTCACAAAGCCAGTAAGGAACAGGATGGACAATCAAAGTCAAAGCTCTTTCCCCTGTGTTGGGTGCTCCCTTATACTCTCTGCCTTACTTCCTGAAGCTTGAAACCCTTCCTCCATCACTTCATCCTTTAATTAATTAATTAATTAATTTTTATGTTTTAAAATGTTTTGGCCATGCCATGCAGCCTCTGGGATTTTTAGCTCCTTGATCAGGGATTGAGCCTGGGGTCCCGGCAGCGAGAGCACTGAGCCCTAACTACTGGACCACCAGACATGTCCCCCTCCTTCCATTTGAAGCTCTACTTTCTTCTGAGATGAAAATCTTACTAGCCATTCACACTATACCACATACTCTCTAGAAAGCCAGAGCAATGAAGAGAAATGGATGCTGGAGGTAGGGGAAGCAGGACCTGTGGGGAGGGCAGCCCTCCCAATCAGCTCTCAGACTCACCTTTGTCAAGTACAAAGGGAAATTTCCACCGTAGTTCTCCGGGACTTCGACATACAGCTCTGCAGGCTGGTCTCTAGGGAGAGCCTGTGGAGGGATTCTCAACACGTCACCAAGCTGTACCTTCCTCCCATGGGTGCTACGACCCAATAGAGAAGGGGAATTTCTACCCCTTCCCTGGGCCTGGTCATACTTTATCCCTCCACCCCCCGGCCTTTGACCTCCTAACCCCAAGACAGGCCTAGAACCACATCCCCCAGACACTACCATCCATAGTCAGTGCAACTGGTCCAGGTGGAGTAGGGGGTGAAGGTGCAACCCCCAAGGCCAGGATCTGAGGGCAAAGAGAGGGCCCAACTCACCTGGGGGACTAAGAAGCAAAGTAGCCAGAGCCAGGCAGGGACCATGGTCAGGATGGGCCTGTAAGGATCCAGCCCAGGTTGGTGGGCAGAGAGTCCCTCCCATAACCCTCCCTCAAGAAAGTGTTCCTCACCCATTCCCACAGCTTCCCCAGGCCCCATGGGGTCCAGTGGCCCCTCCTCCTCCAGCTGGACCAGGGGGCAGGCAGTCAGGCCTCCTCCTGCGCCCTACCTTATGCTGCCCCAGCAGTTCTCAGAGCAGCCCCGCCCCCCCACCACTTGGACACTGCCCCCACCCCCCTCCCACCCTTGTCCCGGCCTGAGCCTACTGCATACACATAGCCGGGCTTCACAACAGACTGGCCTCCTCTTCCTCTGCTTTGAGGGACCTGTGGCTCCCTATTGCCTGCAGTGCAGTATCTAGCTCCTTGGCCGGGCCCACCAAGACCCCCAGGTCCAGCTGCCCTGCATCTCTTGGTTCTTGTGCCCACAAGGGTCTCCACAGGGAGCTTCACCTCCAGACTCTGTCTCCTTCCCACCATAGCCTCCCAAGCTCGTAGATCCCAAAGTATTCATTTCCTGACAGTCTCCCTGAATCACCAACATTTGAAGCTAGAGAGACCCTGATGACCCTGTGGGCCACCTCCTGTGGCCGCCTCACATTGTAGGCAAGGCCTGAAGGGCAAGAGCTGACCAAGGTCACAGAGGATTTGACCACGGGAGAATTCTTCCTGAAACACAAGACTCAGGGTTCAGGGTCTCCAAGACTGTTTTAGCTCCCATTGTTATCCTTCAGACATGGAGCCCTCACAGGACAGGACCCCTGCCCTCAGCTCAGTGTTTTCCAGCATTCAGCATGGCACTGGGCACCCAGAGAGCGGACAACCACATCAATCACTCCCGGGAAGTCTTCCCTGGATGACAGGGCAGTGTTTCCCCCTCCCCTGCCACCAACCCCCGCCTCAGCCCTGACACCAACCCAGGTCCCAGGTCCCAGGTCCCAGGCCCTCACCCGCCGATGCCCGAGGCTGGCTTCCCTTGGTCCAGCTGCCAGGTAAGAGGAGTCTTTCTACAGGAGTGCTGGCCAGGCCGAACTGGGTAGAACAGGGCAGGGCGGACACTTGAGCAGGTAGGCGGGCCAGCCACGCTTGCTCAGGAGTGGAAAACACCCCTGGGCCCACAGCAGCAGGCCTGACCCTGCCCAGCCCCTCAAGTTACTCATTGACTTTGAAAAGCTGGAGGTTGCTCGGCATCCATGACCGCCAACCCCAGGAGGTGGGGAGATCTTCGACCTGGCGCTTGTCCCACCCCTACACAGCTCAGTGGGTACTTCTCGGCCCCTGGATTTGGACATGACCCTTTTTCCCGTGGCTCCAGGCTTGCTCCCACTTCTCCCCCTTATGCACCAGTGTCTGCAGCTTCGCCTTGGCCCACGCTGTTCCTTTTTCCTGGAATGCCCTTCTCATTCCTTCATCTGTCTGCTGATCACCCGCTCAGGCTTCTGCGCTCAGCTCAAATATTCCCTGCTCCCAAGAAACCTTCCCTGGGCTCCCAGGTTTGTTCAGGGCTCTCCCATGGAGATACTTCACCCCTACCCATGCCCATATGCCATAGAGATAGTACTATATCTATTAACATGAGGAGGGCACCAGCTTGTTATTAGCATTCTCTTCCATCAGACTCAGAGGCCCTCCAGGGCAAGACTCAGGGACCCAGTAATTAATGACCTGGTCCTTGCATGGCCCTGGCAGCTCCTAACTGACTTGTGGAACTAGATAAGGAGCTGGAGGTGCCATGTGCAGGATAGGGGAGTGGTGCATGACCTGAACCAGATATTTGGAGCTCCAGACCACCCACCAGTGTGACCAGTGGGCGGGGGTAGGAGGATAGCAGCCTGTGAGAACCCCTAAGGCTCCCTAGGTGCTCACACTAGCCCCTGGACACAGGCAGGGCTGGGACAATGAACTGTCTCGTGCCTTTGAGAGGAGAGAGGAGTTTGAGCCAGTTCAGGTGACCTTGAGGGAGTTGCAGGGCTGACAGGAGGCCCTTCCCCCACTGGTGCAGCCTAGAAGAGTCGGGAGAAGCTCCTGGGGCCTGAGTGTGTGGAGTGGTGGGAAGAGGGTGGGAAAGGTCAGGGATCTTGGTCTCCGACCTCTCCTGTGGTTTCCCTGGAGTCCTTCCCATTGCATATCTGGTTAATTTGTCTCAGGCTAGAAGGCTGGATCAGGACCCCTCAGCTGACTCCAACTTTGTCCGTCACAAGCTGAGTTCCTGCCTCCAGGTCACTTGGGCACCCCAGCCCGGAGCAGTGCTGCATGGGAATGTTGAAAGGGTCTCATGTGTATTGAGACCACATGAGAGGGGTCTCCAGCTATGTGACTGGCACTACTCTAAGCAGATACCGTCATTATTCCACCCATTCCATTCTGAAAAGGGCATCGTGCCCACGTCACACACTGGAGCACAGAGAGGTTGAGTGACTTGCCCAGGGTCACACAGCCAATAAGTGACAGAGCTCGGAAGGTCTGGAATCTTCTTCAGGCCTCAGCATCCTCACCTGCTCTGAGAAAACCATGCCTGCCATTTGCCTTGGTGAAGGACACTGAGACTGGGAGCGGGAATGCAGCTTTGAGCTGCCCTGGGGGCATGTGGTTAGTCACGGGGATGGCACACCTGAGGAACTGCTTTCAAACCTCCACCTGCTATTGAACAACTGCAGTCAGAGTTCTAACCAAGTCCTGAGGGCTCCCAGGAGCCCTGAAAAAATTGACTAATATAGAAATGTCTGGATCCCGGCCTGGAACCTTTTCAGAAACCGTCCCCAGCCTTGTCCCAGGCTGCCTCTGGGCTCCCAGTCCCCACTCAGCCACTTCTGCCCGTGGGGCCCCAGGTAAGTGCTTCGTCCCCCATCCACCATTGTTGAATGGGGATGCTCACTCCTGAAACCATGATGGTAAATCTGAGCAGGCACCTGTGCCCAGAAGGCTCCCTTTCCCAGGTGAGGGTGGTGGGGAGATACAGTCCTCCAGCTATCAGCAAAGATGCACACATTTACACTAGAATGCAAGGCCTCTCATTCCAGGCAAGGAGGGCCCCAGGGACCTGCTCCTACATTAGGCAATGCCGAGCATGGAACCCTCTGGCGTGGCCACTCAGTGGGGAGAAGAATGGCCCTCCCTGTCCCCCCACCAATTCCTGCCTAGCAACCCAGCCTCTGCTAGGAGGTAGGGAGCCACGCGGAGTCAAGTCCACCTGAGTGTGCCTTCCTTGTGCATGCGTGTGTGCTAAGTCACTTCAGTCGTGTTCGACCTTTGTGACCTTATAAACTGTAGCCCACCAGGCTCCTCTGTCCATGGGATTCTCCAGGCAAGGATACTGAAGTGGATTTGCAGTGATTGAACCCTTGATCAGCTGAGCAATGCCAGGCCCCAGTACAGAAGAATCTGAATACAAGGTTGGGTGAGATTCATGTCTCTTCCTGCTGCTTGAACCCCCCCCCCACCCCATTACCCCAGCAACCAGACCACCACCCACACCTGCCCGTTGGATGCACCTGGGCACAAACATTAGAATAGTTAAGGCCACAGACTAGGGTGGGTCAGTGAGGCCCCTTCCTCAACTTAAGGAAACTTTCCAGTTCCTACAGCCCCCAGAGTCAAAGAAAACAGAGTCACCAGCCCTGGCCTATCAGGAAATAGTCTTTATTACAAAAATCTGCATGTAAACAAATAGCCACTGCACTGAACAGCCTCCCTCCAGGGCATGCACACCAGGGTGTAGAGAAAGGCAGAGTCCTCTCCCCACTCATAGGCCCGTCCCCAAGGGCTGGCAGGAGTCAGCCTGCTGCTTGGGATGCACACGGGCTGGCATAGGCATCTCAGTGGGCCCAGCCCTCGACGGCTACTGGGAGTCGCCTCCCTGGGCAGCACTGTCTGTCTGTCTGTCCATGAGGTGGGGGACGCTCAGAGTCTGAGCCAGCTCTGAGGCACCTCGGGCGGTTGGCTGGGCCAGCCCACCAATCTGCCCATCTGTCTGCACAATACAGCGAGGGCCCCAGGGCCTAGAGCACCGACAGGTCGTGGCAGGACTTGGACTTGGCACGCATGGCCATCTTGCGGCTGTTTCGAGCGACAATGCGGCCCAGGAAGCGCTTCGCCTTCTTGCCCAGGCTCTCTCGCCGCCGGGTACCTGCTTGCCGACGCGCGTTGGCCTCTTTGCTGTCCCTGCGCAGGCGTATCTGACGCACGACACCCTCGAACAGCGCCTGGACGTTGTGGTGCAGCGCAGCCGACGTCTCAATGAACTTGCAGTCAAAGACAACGGCGCAGGCCCGGCCCTCTGGTGTGTGTGGCAGGGGTGGGGAGTGGGGGACAGGCACACATCAGTAAGCAAAAGGTGGGTGGGTGAGAGGCCCACTCCAACCCTGGACACACCCTGGCAGCTATCTGTGGAGAAGGGGAGGGGAGTCCTGGGTCTTCCCCAGGAACACAATGAACCCTGCCTCCTGTATGGAGGGGCCCAGGCATCACTGGGTCACCCAGCTGCAGAGCTTGCCCATGTTTAAGGAGCTCACAGAGGCCCACAAAAGAAGACTCATTTATCGAAATAATTCAGAGTTTGATATTTAAACGGTAGTGCTGTAATACTCAACACAGGAAAATGACAACTTTGTTGGACAGCATGGTGTTTTATGGCTTGCTGTTATATCATGATGAATGATGAGTGGAATTGGGGGAGGACATCACCAAGTCACTGCTGGTTCTTCTGTGGGGTTCAGGTCTAGGGGTCACAGAGGATGCTGAGCCCAATGTTGGGGGAGGGCTCCTCCCCAGGGGCAAGATTATGCAGAGACTGGACTGGGCCTGGAATCCAGGCTCTGGCCTCCTGGCCTGAGTCCCTGAACTCTCCTCACCCCTCATCAGCCAGGCCAGGGACAAAGAGGACAGAAAAGGAGGGCTCTGAGATGATCCAGTAGCTTTCACCTCCTCTGGTACATCTGGTCCCTTCCCCAGCACTCAGGACTTGGGAGTCCTGTGGGAGGGCAGAAGCTCTCCCCCTGTCTCCCTGAGTTTTCTTCCTGGACATTTTTAGCTACTGATGATCCCCAGAGACTCGAGCTGAGTCAAGGCTGAGTGGACCACAGTGCAGCCAGGATCTCCCTCCCTTTCCGACCCAGCTCCCTGCTCACCGTCCAAGGAGACCTCTCGAGAGCGCACCAGGTCGCTCTTGTTGCCCACTAGGATGATGGGCACGTCATCGGTCTGCCGCGCCCGCCGCAGCTGGACCCGCAGCTCTGAGGCCTTCTCGAAGCTGCCCTTGTCAGTCACTGAGTACACGATGACATATGCATCTCCCATGGCCAGGCAGTGGCCGGGTAGCCAGCGACCCCCATCCTAGGGGACACAGACACATATTTACCCAATAGTCCTCACGCCCCAGCTACAACGCTGTCATCCCCAGCAGGCCCCTACCCCCAGCTCAACACTCCCACCCTGCCCTGGGTCTCAGCCTACATCCTACCTGATCCCAAATGTCATAGACCATGAGTGACGCCTCTTCTCCATCCACCGTGATGGAGCGGTCATATGTGTGCCCTGGGCAGGAGACCAGTAGTCAGGTTACTTGCTGGCTGCCACAAGCGCCCCCCTCCCCCAGTGCATCAGGTGTCGTGTTCTGGCCACACCCTTCAACTCCTCCCCAAAGCCCCCCAACCTTCTCCTCCACTGGTGGCTGCTTACATAGTAACAGAAATGACAGGGCTGAGAAATAGGGGGGCGGGTGAAGCATGGTGTGCAGGCCCCCCACCTAGATACCCCTTCCCCAAGCTAGCAATGTCCTGGGTGGCCATTCCTGGGTTCCCTGCCCTCCTGTTGCCTGAGACTCAGGATAGTTTTGATCACAGTGGCTTGAGTTAGAACAGACATCCCCTGGGGACCTTGGTTACCTAGGACTCCTCTCCTACACTCTCCCTCTGGCTGTGTTCTCCCCGGTCCTGGCAGGGAGGGCTATCCTGTCCTCACACTACAGAACCATTAAACATATGCCCTGGGTCTTCTACTCCAAGCATTTCTTTCCCTACTAAAGGCTGGGGTACCTTCCCTCTTAGTTTCCCCATCTGTGAAAGGGGGAGGTAGACGCGATTATCAAAGCGCCTTCAGAATTCCGTTGGTATTTGCTGCTTTTAACCCTGATCCCCAGTCCAGCAGCCCCCAGTCCTAACCCTGTGTTCGCCCCTCCCTTGAACAGTCCCTCCCAGTCCCTCACCTGCGGCTTCCGCTTCTGGCCCGTCCTCTACACCTCCGAAGATGCGCGCCAGAGCGCTCTTGCCCACGCCAGGCGCCCCCAGCAGCAGCACCTTGTAAACGCTCTCGTCTGAATCGCTTCCTCCCGAGCTGAGCGAGTCGGAGGAGCCCTCGGGCCAGTCCAGCCTCGGACCCTGGGCCCCTGTCCCGGCTTCGGACGTTGTCAGAGCGCCCGGAGACAGCGCCGCCTGCAGGTCGCGCTCGTCCACCGGCATGCTCCGGCGGTGCAGTGGGGGCGCGGGGCCCCAAGGTGTGCTGCCCCGACGGCGATCGCGTTCCCGGCCCCCGCCGCGGTTCCCGCCGGCTCCGCTGCCGCCGCCGTTAAGAGTCATCGCGTCGGACGCCGTCTGGGGAACGGGAATCCGGATGGCCGCGTAAGCCGCGGTGGACACGGAGTATGAGGCCGGATCTGGTACACGCCTGCCTGACCACGGGTCAGGAAAGATGCTCGGCGTATAAGACCTGCCGCGGAAGGTCTTTGCGCCCTGACAAGTGACCCACCCTCCTGGCTTGTCCATCCCAGACGGTGAGATCACCCCCACCCCGCTCTGCCAGGACACTCACCCACTCAGACACGGTGAGGACTAGGTAGGTACCGGGCTCGGATACAGTCCACCCGTAGACCCAGGAGCGAACACTCGACCAGTCGCAGCCGTCGCCTTCTCAGTCCCTACTGGGCTCAGGCGCCAGAGTCGCCTATTTAAGCCTCTGCCCGCCCCCGCCCCCACCCCCGCGCTCGCCCCCGTCTGCCCGGTGCGGGGGCTGACGTGTCCGTCTCCCTCCCCCGAGGGGAATCCCCCACCCTCCTCCTAGGACCTCACACCCACCCAGCCCGGCCTCACTCTCTAGGGCGGGGCAGGGGCAGACCCCGCACACAAAAGCCCGGTCTAAGTGAGTGAGTGTGTGTGTGTGTGTGTGTGTGTGTGTGTGTGTGGAGGGCAGGTAAGGAAGAAGGAGAGGGCGTATGTGAATGATACAAGGAGGAGGGGGACAGAGGTGGAGAGTGCCATCACGGGTGGGGGCAAGGCGGGAAGAAGCCCCATCAGCCCAGTGGGCCAAGTCCCCACTAGGGAAGACTTAGGTCTGGCCCTTTAAAAGTGATTTCACCCTTCCCTCTCTCCCAGTCCTGGCCTGTTGCCCAAGCAAGCAGACCAGTTACAGGTCCACAGACTTCACCCTTCACTGCCCACGGCACCCATTTATTTTGGGGCCCTAAATCCAAGCTTCTAACCTCAACACCAGGTCCTTCCCACTCTCATCCCTGCCCTTGGGAGTTGATGATTCTACCTGATGAGCCTGTCCTTCAAGATGAGGGTTAGTGACACCTGAGCCCCCAAGGGGGCCCTTAGAGGCCTGTGGGGAAGGGGTGGGGAATGGAGGCCCTCTGGCAGTGTTGTGCAGGTGGAGGTGCAAGCTTGAATCTTGAGGAGGGAATGTGGGCCTAGAGAAGGAAAAGGATGGACTCAGCACCACCTCCCCCTCAGCACCCTCCAGGCAGCTGCCAGCAACTCTGCTAAAAATACCTGATCATTCGGTTCCTGGCCTGGAGGTTGCCCAAAGTTAGGGAAATCCTGGCAGGCAGGTGTCAGAGACCAGCAGGAGCGGATAGGGGTGGGACTAGACAGGAACAGGTCTGGTTCCAGTCACTCTGAGTCTTCAATGTCTCCTTCCTTCCCTTTAGTCTCAGACTGAGCCTGTAATTCAAGGCACACTCGGGGTCTGGAGGTTCCTTGTCATAGAGCATGGATGGGTTCCGGCTTCCCAGGTGGCTCAGTGGTAAAGAATCCACCTACAATTCAGGAGACCAGGTTCAATCCCTAGGTTGGGAAGAACCCTTGGGGTTGGAAAGTAGGAAATGGCAACCTGCTCCAGCATTCTTTCCTGGGAAGTCTCATGGACAGAGGAACCTGGCGAGCTACAGTCCATGAGGTCGCAGAGTCTGACACGACTTAGCAACTGAGCATGCGTGCACACATGGATGGGGTCAGGCAGTTGGGAATGGGATAGCCACCGCTTGGTGCCAGCACTGCCCAGAGATCAGCCCCCTCCTCAGACCCAGGGAGGATGCAGGGGCACAGAGGGGAGGAGATGTAATGGAGAGACTTGGTTTCTAGTCCTAAATCTGTCCCCAGGCTCCTAGGTCTTGCTTCTCTCCCAGCTTCTATTATTCTATCCCAGCCCCTCTATTATTGCCCTGCTCATGTCTGGGGTGTGTGAGGACTGGGGGCAGGCAAGCTGTGAGGTACTTTTTGACCGGGACCTGCTATTAGACTGACGTTTGATTGCGAGGGGTATGATGGGGGTTGGGGGGCACCCATTCAGGGCTCAAGTGACATCATAAATGGATGGATCCTAGTGGACTGCTGTAGGTTGTCATGGAGACCGGGGTCAGGGCTCTCTGGCTGCTGCGTCAGTTTCCTTGGCAACATCTGAAATGGCCTTGGAATGAGCAGGGCCTGGTTAGGTAAGTGTTAGAGAGTTCACGCAGGCCCCTCTAGTTCTTGACGTCCTCAAAGCAAGCAAGGCCTGAACTGTGGGGTGGTCTATCCATTTGTGTCCTTCACATGGCCTGGGGGGTCTTGGAGGACTGGGCAACCCCATGTTGGTTCTAGCTTCCTGGACCAGGTCCAGTGGGAAGATGGAGTCATGGGTTGAGCCTCTTGTCAAAGAACAAAAGTCTTGGGACTTCCCTGGTGGTCCAGTGGTTAAGACTCTGTGCTTCCAATGCAGGGGGCATGGGTTTGATCTTTGGTCAGGGAACTAAGATCCCACCATACCATGCAGCATAGCCCAAAAAACCAAACAAACAACAAAAGTCCTAAGAGCCAGCAAACCACTTTCCATCAGGAATCCCAGCTGGGCTACCCACGGCCCCTCCTAACCACCTTACACATGACCTTGCTGCTGACAAGAGCCCCTGGATGTCCGACAGAGGGTGGGTGTTGTGGGGGGGGGTGGTGGCTGTGGTCATGTAAGGAATTAGGGCTGGGTTTCCCCTCTGATAATCTAAGCTCTTGACCTCAGCAATGTTTCCTCATTGCCAAGGGAACTGCATCCACACTGGGCCACTCAGGCCCCAAGCATTCCTCAACAGGATAGACATGCCACATGCAGCAGCATGGCCAGGGGCCCCAGGAACCATACCAGGACATGCCCTTGAAACACCCCCAATTCTCTGTCCTCTCAGTTCCCTGGGCTGAGCTTGGCTGCCCAGAAGGAACAGACCGAGGCAAGAACACCCCCAGGATAGCCTGGCCTTCAAATCCCAGCTCTGCACCTTGCTAGCTATTTCACCTCTGCCCATTTTGGCTGAGCCTCAGTTCCCTCCTGTGTAGAACAGGAATAGTGCCTTCATGGCAGTTGTTATATGAATAATCTGAGGACTTCCTTGGTGGTCTAGTGGTTAAGACTCCATGCTTCCAAAGCAGGGGGCGCAGGTTCCATCCCTGGTTGGAGAACTAAGATCCCACCTGCTGTACAGTGCAGCCAAAAAAAAAAAAAGGTATACATAACATGAAATTCAGAGGTAAACTGGTTGGTATGTGTCTGGCATATAGTAATATTGATATCTCAATATGAACACTTTTATTATCGCCCTTGGTTGGACAGGACAGGTTGAGTGACTATATGGGCCCTCTCCTGCTGCTTCTCTCCTGCTCCTGCTCCTTTCTGTCCACAACAGTTGTCTGCCCAGGACAGGGGCAGGTACAGATACTTCTCCCCTCTCCCTGCTACCCACCTTTTCTCTGTGGGACCCTATGCCCTTCCCCTTCCTCAGGTAGCAAAATGCTGCAAAGGGAACTTGGCTGGATTTCAGTGTCCCCACCCCTCCTCACACCGCAGTTCCATGCCCCAGTTCCTCTGTTCTGTTCTAAGGCTCAATTCATTCATTCATTTCACTGACCTGTACTAAGTACCTAACTGTATGCCAGGCCCTTGTGCTTTGGGCAGAATGATAAGCAAAAATGGACAGACCTGGGCATGTTCATATTTGTCCTCTAATCCCTGGGTTGGTCTCACTTAGCTGTGATTTGTTGTTCCCATTTTGTAGACATGTTAACCGAGGCCTGAGAAGTCACAGGCCAGAAACAGCACAGTCAGACACACCTGGTGGAGGGCTTTAGGAACCTGAAACTTCATCCCCCGCCCCCCACCCCGTGTTTGCAGATTGCAGCTGGGATTCCAGAAAGTTCCCCAGGCACTAGTCCAGTATTCATAAATGGTGTCACTGCAGGCAGCTGGGGGCCAGGCCCAGATGAGTCAAAACTGCAAAGGGGATATCTGATATGCCAACTGGCTGGATGTGAGCAGCTTGGTGTCCCTCATCCACTGTGGCCTGGCTGCCAGGAGGGCCAGCTGAATGACTCAGTGACACCTGTCTCCCCTGTGACCCCCCCACCCCTAGCTGAACAGAGACACCACAGATCTTAGACAGATCCGGGCTGTCACTGCAGAGGTACACAGGCGGCGAAATCTACAGCTGGGTACTGGTGGTTGGGAAGCCTCCTTGGGGCCCGAGGGACCCTGGGTGGTTGGTCACCTGCCTCTCTGGAGCACTGAGCTGCTTCATCTGTGAAAATGGGAGGGTGGGTACTCTGCCTGGAAGGTCACCTGAAATGGTCCTAGATCCACTTGCAAACCCCTCAGAGAAGTCCTAAGCTGTTTTCACCACTTCCCACATCACACATGAAGAAACTGGGTGACATGGACTCATGGCTCCACCTCTCTGAGCAGCCAGATCTTGGTCACTGGGTGGCAAAGCCACTCCTGCCTGGAAACCAGGTGGCATTGGTGGTAAAGAACCTGCCTGCCAATTTGGGAGATTTAAGAGATGAGGGTTTGATCCCTGGGTTGGGAAGATCCCCTGGAGGAAGGCATGGCAACCCAGTCCAGTATTCTTGCCTGGAGAATCCCACGGACAGAGGAACCTGCTGGACTATAGTCTATGGGGTCACACAGAGTGGGACACGACTGAAGTGACTTAGCACAGCACAGGCCCCTCCAGCCAGGCAACAGCGCCCCCTGCCAGCTGAGCAGTGCCAGCTGAACTCCTTAGGTTCCTCCACTCTAACTGGAGGTCTTTGGGAGTCAGTTCCTTATTCTATACGCTTCTTTCCTCCCCTGCAAAATAGAGATAACAAAGAATGCCACATAGGGCTGGCTCAAGAATTGGCTGTCTAGGTACTTATATATCAAGGCTTCTGCCAATGCCCACTCTCAGGACAGGCTCAATATCATCAGAAGGCCCCCAGGAACAGATTTGCCAAGGGCCCAGGCTCCTTGCTGAGGCCTCTGGAAGGCCCTGTCCACCAGATGGGCTGGACAAGTCTTCTTAATAGCTGAATATTTCCTCAAAGAAATGGAGGCAGGGAATCACATTATGACTTCGGACTGGCTGATCCAAGGTCTAAGCCCCCCAGCCTATCCTGGTGACCAACTGTGCTGGGGGAGCAGAGGCCCCAGACCTGAGCACCTGGGGTGACACACTTGGATGATGCTGGTGGAGACAGTGCTTCAGGTGGCTTTCAACAGAGAAATCTGCTGTCACTGTCCTGACCAGGAGACCAGACTGAGCATCACCAAGGGTGGGGACAGGCTGGCATCACACAGCTACTGGTGGATACTAAGAATTCATAGAACACTCCTGGGCAAGGCTTTCATTAATAAATTCTAACCTGAACTCAACCAATTTCTAGTTTATACGAAACACAGCAAAGGAAGAAATCAGACTGTGGGACTTGTCCAGGACAACTCACATTGTGCTTTTCAAAATAGTGTCAAGAAAGATTAAAAGGTGAGGAGGTGGGGAGATAGTTCTAGAAGAGGCTAAAGAGATGACAACCAAATGCAATACATGGAACTTGACTGGAGCCTGATTAAACAATTATGAAAGACATTGTGGGGAAATTCATATATGATTGAATATTAGGTATTTAGCTTTAGGGAATTGTTTGCTTTGGGACCAGATAATAGCACTGTGGTTCCAGGCTTAATCTTAGGAGACACAGGATGAAGTACTTAGAAGTGAAGGGTCATATGTCTGCAGTTTTACTGTCAAGTATATCTATATTCTCCTCACATATAAATAAAGCCAGTGTTGTAACATGTTAAGAACTATTAAATCTAAGTGGTGGGTATACAAGACTGTGTGCTACCTTATTCTTTCAATTTTTTAGCATACTTGTAACTTTTCCCAATCAAACCACTGGGAGAAATTTAAAAAATGAACCAAACCTCCTTGACTCATCCTTTATAGGCACTCACTACCACCCCCATCCCAAATCGGGAGCGACCCCACAGAGATGAAAGACTCTCAAGCATGCTGGGAAATGAATATAAATTAAAGGTTTATTACAAAATGCAAAGTGTTTGTTTCTTATTGTCAGTGATTCAAGAAAACAAGGCCATGAGCCCTGTGTGGGGCTGGGAGCAAAATTCAGGCTCAAGACCGGGCTGATAGACACTGGTTCACAACCTCAAGCAGGTGGGTGTTCTCTAGGGCGGCTGCCACCCGCTCTTTATCTGCAAGCTGCTTGTTCACTAGGTGGAAAGAAGACAGTGGTGAAATATATCTAACCGCCCCCCCCCCACCCCCAACAAAGCCCTCCTGTCACCTTCCCAGGATTCCAAGTCTTGATCTGGCTACCCCCACCATCTGAACCCACACCTCCCCCACCTTCTTGTGACTCTCACCTGGCCACTTGCATCTGCCTGCTACACTATAAAGCCTGACACACCCTGGTCTTATGTACTTAGAAGAGAGAGACAGCAGGAGTGAAAGAACATGGTACACATAGGAGACTCAAGTCAGGCCAACTTTGCTTTAGGCTGCCAGTTCCACCGAGGAGTCATCTGCCTAGGGCCACACCCCCAATCTTGCCCTAGAAACCATCACAGCAAGGGGGAAGGCTCGGGGCTAATGCCTCAATACCAGCCCACACTTACCTGCATGTTCTGAGGCATGGGTCCCTGGTGTAATATGCACATCCATCTGGGAGGAAGAGAGGTGGGCCTGAGCACCCACACACCTGTCTACCCCTTTCTCCCCACTCACCCCCTCCAGTTGATCCTACTTCCTAATTATGCTCTTGGACTCTGACCTTCCAAATCCACTCACTGCCAGTTCATCACTACCCAAATGACTGGCCAACTACTACTGACTTAAAAGGCCTGCCTGCACTCTCCACCCCTGCTCCAAACTTATCTGTGGCTCCCTACTGCCCAAACTGCCACACTCCTCACTACTTTTCTGCACTTTTCAGCGTGGTCTTTATTCTTGTCCTATCCAGTTAGAAAGCCTCCTCCCAATTTCATCTCTGATAGCCAGGTTCCTTCCAGATCTCTCTGATGTCCAGACTCATGCTCCCATATCCTCTTAAGTGACAAACACTCACAGCTGCCCCACCCCCAGGGCTAAGTTCAAACTCACCTTGAAACGCTGGGGAAGGGATCGCAGAAGCTTAACTTTGATGGACAGGCCAATAAGGGTGGCCATACTGCAGTGTGGAATGGTGGGTGTGAAGGCCACGGCCACTGTGCTCTCGGGGTCGCTAACCTAGTTCGGGAGTGGGATGTTAGGAGTCATGACACGTTCAGCCCTGAGCCCCTCTTTTTAGTCTGTTGCTTCAAACAAATCGTCTAACAAGTATGGGCCTCAGTTTCCTCATCCATAAAATGGGTGTGCAGTGTTCCAAAGAGCCACTGAGGGAGGAGTCCGTGACCTGAAAGCACACCAACCCCTTGGTGCACAGCTGAGCTATTCTGACTCTCCCGAACAAGTCGCTACCCTGGACGGTGGGAGTGACTCACCTGAACCCGGACTTGCTCTACTACGTTCAGTTCTTCTAGCGTCAGGGGATGCTCCGGGTCATTGATGGAGCGAATCAAATGTGCCAAGTGAAGGAAAGAGGGCTCTGCGCCTTTGCCCACTAAGAACCCTCCGCCAGAATGCCCGGCCCTAACACAGCTCCACCGACTACACAACGTCACTTCATCCCCCGCATCCCATGCCCCCGAGAACCGCCCCCGACCCCCGCGTCCGGTAGCGGCGGATATCGAAGATCTCGCGCGCGTCGATGCTGTCTGGAACCTGCTCGTCCTCCTCGCCCTCGGTCACTGGCCGGTCCCCAGAGCGCTCGTAGATGAGGGGGTTAGCGTTCTCCAGGAGACCGCCCCCCATCCCGCCGCCGCCCACCATCTCGGAACCGCTGCCGGCGACCGTAGGCTTGCACTTCCTCTCCTACGGCGCACTTCCGGGGAACGGGAAGGAGGCGTGGCGTGGTGACGGGGTAACGCGAGGGACACGCGACGCAGCCCGTGCTCCACCTGGGGTATGGGTGCGACGGTGGCCGTTGCGCGCTCTCCACGCGGACCCAGGAATATGTGGAGCGCTCTCGGGGGTACCGAGAAGGGAGCACGTGTGCGAGCCGGGAGGGTGCTGGGCACCGCAGGATAAGGCTGGAGCACTGAAGATCCGAATGAGATCGAGCCAGGCATCATTTCCTCCGAGAAACCTGCCCCTTAGGCTGGGCAGTTGCCTAGACTTGGCCTCTGTCTGCCCCTGCACGGCTCACTGCGTTTCGAAACTTCCCGGACACGCACCTGCAGCTCCAGCTGCACTTGGGGCCCGAGAGTGCTCTCCCAGTCCCCAGCACGAGGACAAGCAGACGTTCTTTAAATGTTTGTCCAGTGGATAAATAACTGACCTCGATTTTGGAGAGAGCTGGGGACAGGGAAAGACCCGAGATGAGGTTGAGGCTGTCCTTAAGATGAGTGCCACAATCAGGTATACATTTCAAAAGGGGGGCCTTTGCTGAATAGGGCGGGGGGCTCACGGAGACTCTCAGACCAGAGACAATAAGGGGATGAAGGTGAACCCAGGAAATCGATACCTGAAAGCAAGGAGGAGTTTTTGGAATGACAGGCAGTCACGTTTCCCTGCCTTTACTCGAGCGGTTCTTTGCCCTCTGAACGAAAGTTGTTTTGATATCTCTTGTCTGTGGGAATTCTGATTGTGCGCCTCCTCAAGGAAACGCTCCCGGTTTCCCCAATTACAGCGTATTGCTCCCTCTCCGCGCTCCTCGCACCAGCCCGTGACTGTAGGGACACTGAACGCAAGTTTGGGGAGAGGGGTCTTGGTATTGCGGAGGAACTGCAGAAGCCTCAATGCCCCTTCGAAGGAAGCCCAAGGGGACCCAGACAGAAGGGAAGCGGCTGTGCTAGCCCCTGCCTGCCACTGGTCTTAACCGGTTTAGTCCCACTCTCCTGCCAAACCCACCTTTGTTCCCGCCTACGCCCTACCCAGGCCAAACTCCTGGCCTGGGCGAGGCACTGACTGGTCGAGTCCCTGCGCAGCCTGTTGATGAAAAGCCGCGTGCCCGCCGGTAGTGCAGAAAAGACTTTTGAACTCACGATGAAGCCGGACGGGCCTCGCTTGCGTCTGAGTTCCGTGGTCTTTGGGTTCTTGCTTCTCCTCGTCCCGGGCCAGGGTGAGGCTCCCGCGCAGGGCGACGTAGGGACCGGGGTAGGACTTGGACAAATTCTGCAGATATTGTGAGGGTGCGGGGGTGGGGTTGGGAAAGCGGGTACTGGCGTCGGGGAGGTGGGAGCCGCTGGAGCGCTACAGTACCAGAACCGTGATCCCACGCATCTCTGCATCCCGAGAGACGCAGAGAAAGTCTGGCCTGCCCCAGGTCTAGCTACGCTTAGGGGCAAGCGGGCTCTAGGGCTGTGAGACGCAGCCGGGCGGGGTGGAAAGTTATTTGGAACATTTCCCTTCAAGTATTCGTGGTGGAGCTGGAGCTGATCGGTGATAACATCAACAATAATAATACCTTCCTGCCACCGTTTGGCTCTGAGCGTTGCACCCTTGTCCGTGGGACGTCTTGACAGCCTCTGAGCCTCTCTCCACCGAGCTGTAGGCAAGGTTACTGGCTCAGGCTACGGAGGCCCCCATCCCCAGCAGCCACATCTGGCAGGAGAGACTACCACATCCTCTTCACCCCGTGCACCCACCCTTGGTGAGGGTATGCCTTGGCCTTCAGGGCAAAGGTAATTGCTCTTTGTGCCAGCCCTTATCAGTGGCTTTTACTGATAAGTAGCTTAGGCTATGTGGGCACAGTACCCGGGCACAGCCCCAGCTCCTGTGCCTGCTCCTGAACACTATGATCCAGTAATTCAGAGGTTCTCTGCCTGTGACACTTGGCTATCTTGTCCACTCCCAGTCCAATCTGCCCAGGAAGGGTCCACACTCATGACTCCCCCCGTGGCCCACTCCACTGGGCTTCCACCCTTAACCCCTTGCTGACCAGGCTCTAGGAGGTCCCCGGAATCTTCCAGATCCACAATCTGCTAAGCTCGACTGAGGCTCCTTTTTAAAAATGTTGCTGTGTTGGGTTGGACCCACTTTCAGAGGAGAAGAATTGATAAGTACAGGTGATGGGTCTGTCCCTCTACTGTCCTACCCAGTCCTAGCTTTTCGACAGGGACCATCTAGGTCTCCAGTGCTTTCCACACACTGCCCAGGAGTTCACCCAAGAATGGGTGTGTGCATGCATCCTTGGTTTTCACCTAAATGGTCACCCATTGCCTCCCTTTCTGGTCCCTGTTCCTGACCCCAGGAGTGACCTCCACACCCCATCGTGGTAGAACTTCTTCATACTTTTTAATGTAAGGACTTCTCTTCAAGAAGTAAGCATCCTCAACGTAACCAGCCTCTGGTCAGGAACATTTTAGCAGGTTTTGTCCTTTGCTATAACGAACAACAAGCATTAGAGGCTGGTGGAGGCAGTGAATTACATGGATAGACATTACATCCCACCAGGAACTAGAGAGCAGCATGTTCCTTGGGAGAATGGTGGGTCTTCTGACTTGAAAAGGCATTGCTCAGTTGCCCTCTGTGGAGCGTGAGAATAGCTGCTGACTCTGGCCTCACCCACCCTGTGTGTCATCAAGCATGTTAATCCATGTAAATCTAATAGGTATAGGGTAGTACAGTCATGTGAGGCTGCTTTTTGTTTTCTTTCTTTAAAAAAAAAAAAAAAACACTTCTTTTTATGAAACCAGGCTCAGATTTGCCAAATTCTGCAGACAGAACCTGAGCCTGCAGGAAGAAAGGCGCCAGGGAGGTGGGAACCAGTGGGGATAGCACCACAGGAATTGGGAGCCTGATTGAATACCTCTCTGCACCCTGAGGCACAGAGGGTCAGGACTGCCTGAGGTCACATAGCCCTGCAGGGCTCCCCATCTGAGGTAGGGAGAATAATATAGCAGACTCAGTATACCTTCAACAGTTATCAAGACCTGGGCAACTTAGTTTTGTTTGGATTATCACCTCTCCTTTGCACTATTAATTGAAGCAAATCCCAGACATCATATCACTTGTAAATTTTTTAAATTATGTCCTACTAAAAGAAAAGGTATATATCTCTCATAATTTCTTAATGTAATCAAACATCAAGTCAAACATTCTTTTTTCGTGTTATCTCATGATATTTATGACATTTTTTAAAAACCATGATTTATATAAGGTTCATATTTTAAGAACTGGTAGCTGTGCTTCTTTTTTTAATAGCAGATTTGAGATATAATTCACATAGCATTTAATATGGTTTGTAGGGACTTCCCTGGTGGCCAGTGACTAAGACTCCGTGATCCCAATGCAGGGGGCACATGTTTGATCCCTGGTCAGGTAACTAGGGACTTCCCTGGTAGCTCATCTGGTGAAGAATCTGCCTGCAATGCAGGAGACCCTGGTTTGATTCCTGGCTCTAGAAATTCCCCTGGAGCAGGGATAGGCTACTCAATTCAGTATGTTTGGGCTTCCCTGGTGGCTCAGATGGTAAAGAATCTGCCCGTGATGCAGGGGACCTGGGTTCGATCCTTGGGTTGGGAAGATCCCCTGAGGGAGAGCCTGGCAACCCAGTATTCTTGCCTGGAGAATCCCCATGGATAGAGGAGCCTGGTGGGCTATGGGGTCACAAAGAGTCGGACACGACTGGGCAACTAAGCACAGTATAGGGAACTAAAGCCCACACACTATAACTAAGACCCAGCACAGCTGAATAAATAAATAAATAAATAGATATTTTAATATGGTTTTTAGTATATTTATGGAGTTTACCACATTGATTTCCCTTTTCCGCAACATTTTGTCTTTTTGAATATCCCAATTGTGATTTTGTATAAATTGAAACATCCAATATGTGGTCCTTTAGAACTGGCTTTTTTCACTTAGCACATTTTCAAGGTTTATCCATGTTGTAGAATGTTTGGTAATTCTTTTTATTGCTGAATAATATACTCTATTGTGTACATATGGTACATTTTATTAATCCACTTATCAGTTGATGGACACTTGGATTCTTTCCACTTTTTGGCCATTATAAATAATCCTGCTATGAACATCCATACCCAAGTTTTTGTGTGGACATATTTTCAATTCTCTTGAGTTTATACCTAGGAGTGGAATTGCTGAGTCATTTGGTAACTCTGTGTAACTTTTTGAAGAACTGCAGGATGTTTTCCAAAGCACTTGCACCATTTTCCCTCCCCACCGGCAATGTACAAAGGTTACAGTTTTTCTACATCCTTTCCAACGTTTATTATTACCTGTCTTTTTGAAGTATTTCATGAAGCTCAATCTTCAGATTCCTTCTCTGCCTCGCTTCTGTTCTCCTTGTAATTTTGTTGTTGTGTTGAAGAAACCAGTTTGTTCTGGAGAGGATCCCAGGGTTGGGATTTGGGTTATTTTTGTTTTTTTTGTTTTCTTGAAGTATAGTTGACATATAATGTTAATTTAGTGTCAGGTGTACGGTAAAGTGCTTCAGTGATAAACATATTCTTTTCCCTTACAGATTATTATAAGATACTGAGTAGAGTTCCCTGTGCTTATAAGGGCTCTAGGGCCTTGTTGGTTATTTTATATATAGTAGTGTGCCTGGAGAATCCCAGGGACGGGGGAGCCTGGTGGGCTGCCGTCTATGGGGTCGCACAGAGTTGGACACGACTGAAGTGACTTAGCAGTGTGTGTATGTTAATCCCAAACTCCTAATTTATCCCTTCCCCCTTTTTCCCTTTGGTAACCATAAATTTGTTTTCTGTGTCCCTGAATCTGTTTCTATTTTGTTCATTTGTATCATTTTTTAAATTCCACATATAACAGTTTGAATTTTGCTGATATGGTGTCTTTTAACTGTTTCTCTGCCCCCTGTATGCCTGTAAATTTGTGTTTATATTCTAGAGTCTCAATCAAATTCAGATTTTACGTTTTGCTTTGTTTTGTTTCGGGGCAAGACTGCTTCATATGTGGTACAGTGGACTTCCCATAGAAAACATACAATGTCTGATTGTCTTGCTTTCTGTGACAAAATAAGTTGCTGACATCACATTCAGATTTCAGTATGCATTTCTCTTAGCATGATTGAGACAAATATCTCCTCATTTGTGTAAGAGCTATTTATTGGTATTCCTCATTCTATCTGAACTTGCACTTTCACCATTTCATGTTCTTTCCCCAAATGTACGTTGCTGTCATCTTTCTTATTTATAGAATTTTTTATCTATTAGGAATGTCAGCTCCCCATCGGTTAGGTGACTTTCCTTCTTTCTTTCTTTTTTAATTTTTAAACTTTCATTTTCAAAGAGCTAGTATTGTTTCTGTATAGGGTAGATGTGCTGGACAATCCGTTTAAGCAAGTTCAGTTAGTCCAACTTAACGAAGCTGATGTCCTTCACATACTAGTGGAAACACTGGCGGCACATTTTGAGGCTGTATTTTGGGTTCAAACCATGGTGGTTTGAGCAGACCCAGCAAGAGCGAGAAACCCTGGCCAAATTTTCTCTGATGGATCCGTAGAGCTGCTGGTGACCCACGTTGCTTTCTTGGCTGCAATGAGGCAAAAGGTGTTAGGTGACTCTTAATCTCTTCCTGGCTCCCTGATCCCTTTAGCAGGGCGAACTGTGCTTTCTAATGTTCTAGACACGGCTGCCCTTTCCTCTGTAGTTCTCCTCATAACATCACTCTTTATTTGGAGAATACTTTGTGTCATTCTTGCCACCTGGAGTGTGAGATCCTGAAGGACAAGAATCTTGTCTGTCTGATTCCTACAGTTCTCCTGCCGCTCCTAGACCTGCACACAGTGAGTGGAAGGGACACTCTTACTCCCATCAAGCTCATATGGCTATTTGAGGCTCCTGGGGCTAAACCATGGTCCCAAGCCCCAGAGAGGTTCACTGAGCCTGATGGAAAAGGCTGGAGCAGTAAAGGCAGTGGGGGGCGGGGCAGAATTACAGGCAGGGAATCTGTAAAGGAAGTATTGGTAAATCGGTGTCCCTTGAGCTGAACCGAGGGCAGGAGGGAGGTGACAACATCACCAGTCTGGGAGGGCAGCTGAATGGGGAGACCCAACCCTGATGTCCATCTCTCTGCCCGCAGGCCAGGACTCTACCCAGCCCGTCCGGACCACACACACAGGGAAGGTGCGGGGGAGCCTTGTCTACGTGACGAACGCTGATGTGGGGGTCCACACCTTCTTGGGAATTCCCTTTGCCAAGCCACCTGTAGGGCCGCTGCGATTTGCACCCCCGGAGCCCCCAGAATCTTGGAGCGGTGTGAAGGATGTGACTTCCCAGCCAGCCAAGTAAGCAGGAGGTCCGGGAACTTTAGGCCCTGGTATAGAGGGTACTCTTGAGCTCTGGGCCAGGTTGCAGTTGTTATTTCATCTAAGCCACAGCCAGTTTTCCTTCTGAGTTTGATGGATATTGACATGCATTTTTATGATAAGCATGCTGAAGCTTGAAAGAGCAAAGTAACTTTCCCAGACTGAGGGCTTAGCACTCAAAAGAGTGCTAGATCTGCATGCTGAAGGGACAAGCAGAGACATGTAACTCCCTAAGTTTTAGTAGTACCAAGTGATCTCTGACATCTGAGAAAGTGGCTCTGGAAGAGGTTTGACCCTTGTAGGAGCTCCTGATTCTAGCAGCACATACTGTAGATTCCCAAGGAGTGGCAGACCTGAGTCTTCACAGTCACTGTGCCAACCAACAGGGCCAGGTACCATTGACCAAGGAATGTGTGAATGTTCTTGCAGCTGGAAACTTTGAGGGAGAGATGAGGTTTCCTGAGAGATTGACTTGAGATTTTTAAAGGACATCGCACTGCCCTTCTCTTGAGAAATTAATCCATTTATTTTGGCAGTACATGCATATGGGCTACTCCCCTGTCCCAGGTCTGTGTGAGTACAGGGATATGATGGTGAATGTAAACACATGCAAGAGTCAAGATTTCTCAGTCTCAGGAGGATAGTATCCAAGGCCCTCATAAGCTTGAGGCTTCCCTGGAAGACTGGGCTCCATCCCTGCTTTCCCAGAGTCTGTGGAATGTAACTTGGTGCAAAGGTCCTTTAGAGAGGGATCACATGTAAATGGGGACCAGAGAAAGTGGGACCAAGGGTAGCTGGGAGTAAATCGGGGCCCAGGATCTGGTTACAGCTACTGCACAGCCCCAGGACTAACTGCCTGCCACGGCCACCAGGTGTCTGCAGGACGTCGACGGCATGAAAAGAATGACTGATAAACTATGGAATGTGACCCTGCCTTCTACCTCCATGTCTGAAGACTGTCTGTACCTCAACATCCACACACCTGCCCATTCCCACAAGGGCTCCAATCTGCCTGTGAGTGCCAGGACATAACTGGGTGAGGGGTGGGAGGACGTTTCTTCTGCAAGAAGATTGAAAAGGACAAGGTCAGCTTGAGCCCCACTGCACGTGGACCCTGTTAAGACGCTGAGTGCTTCTTACCCAGCATGGATGGCTGACCCTTGGGCACAGGGTCACAGAACCCTGGCTGCTCTCCGAGGTCATAAACTGTGTCCCTGGGAGGGACCCTGGACTCACCCAACCAACTCATACCCAGGGACCAGTCAGGTACCTAGGTGCCTAAGGCCTGCACTTTGAGGTGGCCAGAGAACCCAGCCTTGGATTATCCATTGGGCCAGTGAGAATGGACTACTCTTAATTAATGTGCATGCATGTAAGGTGATCAGAGAAACACCCCTTTTCTTTCCACCCCAGAGAGGGTTCTGGGGGAAATGGGGCCAGGCTTTGGTAAGTGGGACAGGCCTTACATGTGGGAGGCAGGTTTTCCTGATAGGATGTGGGTCACCTTCAGTCCAGGTAATGAAGACACTACTGTGTCTTGCTGGAGTTCTGTCCATGTGGTTAGGTGAGCAGAGTCAAAGTGGTGGTTAGTTTAGGCAGCAGCCCTGGTGGTGTTTAGGGCCAGGTGGGAGCCACATGGTAACTATACCTCGGATTCCCCAGGTGATGGTGTGGATCCATGGTGGCGGGTTTGTCCTGGGCATGGCTTCCATGTATGACGGCTCTGCCCTGGCGGCCTTTGAGGATGTGGTGGTGGTTGTTATCCAGTACCGCCTGGGTTTGCTGGGCTTCTTCAGGTGAGTCTGGGGCTGGGCTGGGCTGGGCAACGTGGACTGATGGAGCTAGGACAGTCCCATGACCCTCATCCTTGCTACTTCTCAGCACTGGAGACAAGCATGCAACTGGCAACTGGGGCTTCCTGGATCAAGTGGCCGCACTGCGCTGGGTCCAGCAGAATATCGCCT